ATATAGTCATAATATATATAAAGCTTAAATCAATATTAATTGTGCTATAATAACTTAAAGATTTCACTCTCAAACAGGGAAAAGATACAGTTTATTCGGGCAGAAGGACCCTCAGGACTTGTTCGCCTCTCTGGTGATGCAGATCTTGTAATTCTATTAAGGTAAGAAGTCATGCTGATTTTCGGGAGACAGATTGTAGCACCTGAATGTTTAAGTAGTATATCATACTGTATATGCAGCAGTAATACTTAATATAGCATTGTGTAAAAACTTTATCTTATTAAAAATGATTGAAAGGGAACAAGTGAGGACACAAATATGCCAGCTGATATGAATTTTAAATGTTCAGGCCAAGCTCTCATGGGCAGGGCCCTCCTTACCATCATGTCTTGAATTGTATTGTAATTGTAATGTATTTCCTAAGTTGTAAAGCGCTATGCAAACTGTTGACGCTGTATAAATCCTGTATAGTAATAATAATACAGGGCTGTCATCCAGAAACCTACACTGCTATGTAGTGAATCACAAACCTGGAATATGCATACAGGGTGGGTTCAGATTTTTCTGACTTCACTGATTATATACTGGTTCCAAGTGATTACATCACTAGTAAAGCCAGGATCAGGATGAACTCCAACAAGATGGTACCTTGAACAATGAGTCAGTAAAAAGAGCTCTATTTCCCTATATTAATAGGTTCTGTTTAAAGTAAAAGTATATACTGTAACAGGGTCTAATCACTGATTAGATTTATTTGAAATAATCAGGTTAATATAAAAATATTTTCAACAGGTCTTAATGTTTTAGGACGTCTGCAAATGGCCTGTAGAGATCAATGACAGACTGGTTGAATCTGCGGTTGTACGGGTATATACTCAACTCCCATCATATACTCGCATACGGGAACTTATGCACTGCCCAGAACTCAGATCCTCTTTGTTCAGGGCTGTGCATTAGTTACTGTATGATCAATGGGATTTGCATATTTACCCGTACAGCAGCAGCTTCAGCCAGCCTGTCATTGATTTGTATAGCACACCTGTGACTCGTGGGCAGTTATACACCATGTATGCTGTACAGCCATTTCAAGCTATATACAAGAACCCTTAAATCTTTTCTTACTGTTCAGATTTTTTAAGTATATATGTGTATGGGGAAGCCATACTTGTTGGCTCTGAAGAACCACAGCTTCAGCAAGTATTTACAAAGCTTTTAACAAGCTTCAACCAGCTTTCCAGAAACCTTTAACCCTTTCGCTGCCAAGCCCTCCGGAACATTTTTCAAATCAAGCTGGGAAAATATACCCTTGCAAGGGAGCCCACTGCACTGGAAGGGTTAATTGCTGGTTAACTCTATGGGGGAGTTGAACAGGTTGTATTACTTACCTTAACCCCTGCTCCAGTAAGATCCAGCACTCTCTTCTCCTGATACTTTGGATGGTCCCTGAAAGAAAATCCACCATGATGTTCAAGGAGTATCTATTTTGTATAAAGGAACTATAGTCAATGTCATCATACAGTGTAGGAGTTCTGACTTTCACCAGCAGGCTTTGAACAAGCTTCAAGTATCACTGAAGCCTCAACAGTTCCATTAGGATCTGTGCTTACCCTGCCTATTCTTGGAGCCGAATGGTGCTTTAATTGCTTCCAAAAAGCTGCATGAAAGCTTTGAAATGCTTTGCAAACTCTTGCTGTACAACCTAAACCCCGCGTGTACAAGGCCTTAAAGGAGAGAATAAAAATATTGGTAAAACAGTTTGTTTATGTGTATATATTTGAACAAATTCCCTTTTACAAGTTTATGCATAAAATACAAATTAGCAAACTGGTCTTTTATATCCGTTCTCAGCAGAACTATATGTAATTTGGACAGCATTAAACTAATATTGCTCATATGTTTACTCATATTCCGTTTGTCTGCAGTCTTTTTGAAGAAGAAATAATGTCATATGTTCCACCACATGCCTTACTACATCCCAGCTATTGCCAGTCTCCACGTGGTTCTCCAGTGTCTTCTCCACAAAACTCTCCTGGTACAGTATCTGCTGCTGTTAGAGTTGACTCGGTGTGCGTCATTAGATAAGTATTACTGCTGCAGTAAACAATCAGGAATGAGTGATGCAGGAACAGCATTAATATGTTTTCTTCTCTCCATTGTATATATTAATAGATAAGGCCTCAGCGATGAAGGGTGTAGGAAGTGGGGGGGCAGGAAGAGTTATTTCATGGGTAGGTCTTGAAATAGGGATAGAATGTTGCAGACATGAGAGTAATAAAGAATTGTAATGCTGCTGTTGACTTTGAACGATGGATATTTGTACATAAATGCATGCATTGTCTGACCGTTCATGTTTTTTTAAAGCTTTATTTTCTAAATATTATAAAGCTTTATTTTCTAAATATTATAAAGGCAAAAAGAAGTAAAAAGCCCTTTTTTTCCAGCGTGACCTTATGTAATACAAATAGAGGTGCATTTATAAACATCACAGAGCCATTCGTCCTGCAAAACTCTATGAACTTTCATTCTGTTTGAATGGAGGTAAAAACAAGCGTTCTTAGTATATTTTCTTTTCAATTCAAATGTAATATTAGGAAAATGCCGCATCATGGCCACTAGATGGAGCTGGAGGAGCATAGGAATAAAGTGTTGTATGGCAAACTGCAGAAGAAAAATCCTTGATGGTACCACAAAGAAAAAATGTTATTGGCTAAGACAAACAGTGTTAGTCAAAAAACTGCTGTTGTCCAACTGGTTGTAAGGAGAAGGTTAGGTGCATATGGGCGAACTTTAGTAGGACAGTTCTCTAATGACTAGTAATGGCAATAAGTCTCTTTCCATATGAACAAAATGGCTTCCCTATGGGAGTCAGGCTCACAAGTAGCATGTAGTAGTGATTAATTACTAATGAACGCACAATGCTCCAAATGTGTTCGATAAACCGCTAGTACTTGATACTTGTGTGCCTCACTCCACGGGAAGCCATTTGATCTATATACATAGTGATTGATTGCTAAGACCAGCGATTGTGTACTAGCAGTTTTAGAAGCACAACCACCCTAATAAAAATCATCCCGTTTCTCCTAGCCTTATACTGGCAATCAGGTCCTACTGGACATTAGGAGTCTTTTGGCCAACACTTTATCTTGGCTGACAGGAAATTCTTATGGCGGTCCATTCGTTTACCTTCTGCGTCCTTCTGACATATGTTATAGACAGTTGGATTGCAGTAACATGTTAACCAAAACTGCAAGTAAACTTATCTTAACTAATGGATTCTGATTCTTGTAGGAACCCAGCGTGCCAATGCCAGAGCACCAGCACCTTATAAGAGGGACTTTGAAGCAAAGTTACGGAATTTCTACCGAAAATTAGAATCGAAAGGCTATGGTCAAGGACCTGGGAAATTAAAGTAATTTTTTTTCTGTATATTTTTAATGGAGCTTTTGTCCTGGTTTTGGATGTTGAATCCTAAAGGAAGTCTGTGCTGAGAGAAATCTGAGGCTGATACTGCTGATGACCTTGTTAGGGATCTTTGATTTAAAGCATAACTAAACCCAATCACAAAAATGTAATATATTGCAGCTTACCAGTCTGTAGACTAGATGGATGCATTAGTTTTGTTTTTCGTACTAAAAACATGTTCAGCTAATACAGAAAATATCTGTTGATCTTGCCAAGATTTACTGTCCTTGTGTCTTCCTCTGAGCTGACCTGGGAGCATAAACCAATGTTATCTTATTTGTGTAAACAACTAATCCCATCACCTCCCATATAATAGAGATGAACAAAGGCAGACATGTTTGAAGTTCAGCCTGGGTGACAACTATGGCTCCCTGCATGGATGCGGTAGAGGAATGAACATAGCCATCCAGGGACTGGAAGTGTGTTATTTACAGGATTACCAGGTAAATCTAAAGGCAAAAAAAAAAAAAAGTCTTAAAAAGGAAACTAATGCAGCCATCTCTTCTGTATGTGGCAGTTTTGTTATTGGGTTTATAAAAAGCTTTAACTACTTCCTAAACAACTCACAGGGAAAAAGCACACAGATAGCCAAGTCAGACTTCAGATCTAGCTATCAGAATTTTTGTGGAAAGGATTTTACCCAAGTCTAAAGTGTTATCCCATAGGCAGTGATGCCTGAACACATGTAGTGTGCATATAGACATACAGTATTGCATCCATGTGTTCTAAGCAGAGAAGTGGCTGTCCCAGTCTACTGTGTCATATACACATCACATCAAGTAGACATGGAATCAAACTTAGAAATTCATACATGTGTTATTAAGCATAATTGAATAGAGTTGCTTGGGTCATCTGTAAACAAAACAAATGTGTATGAGCAGTAAGGCCTTTTCACCACTTGATCTCACATGCCAGTATACCATTTCCGGACCTTTGAAATTTTTACATTTCTGCTTTGGACCTATTAATTCATCAATAACGTAACTTATAATACCAAAGTAATACATGTAGGTGTTTTTTTCAGTACAAAATAAGTCATTCTTGGCTGTATTGTCTTCCAAGAATTATTTCATTTTTTATAAATCTAAAGACCAAAAAAAAGTAAAAAAAAAGTTTTTTTCAAGCATTTAATTGTCTCATTTAGAGTGACACGAGAGTTATGTTTTAGATGCAAAGCATGGTGAGACTATTCAGACAAACTGAAACTTTTCTCATACAGTGTAAATGGAAAATAGTTTACAAAAAAAGTGTAAAACAGTTTAGTATGGAGGCTGAATATATAATGAGGGAATACAAAGAGAGCTTTTTTTTGTATATCCAAAGTGCAGTGATCTGTACAAACCAATCAAATAAATGTCACTTTACATTTGTTTGGAGTTGTCAGTAGTATATTTGTGCTACGGCATTACATGCTTTTTTTGTATCTTATATCCAGGGCCGTCCCTACCCTATATGCCGCCTGAGGCTGTTGAGTGGTGGTGGTAGGGTTCTGGTGATAGTGCTTCCCTGGGCAGGGGGGGCTTTGCTGATAGCGGTCATCCAAGAGGGGGATGGGGGAAGTGTGGATGCTGTACGATGGACGGCTGTGTTAGAGCCGTGGTGTCAGTGGCTCTCTGTCTGGTCCCGCCCAGCTCATTGACTTCGCTGGTTGTCAGGAGCTCGGCAGGATGCCAGCCAGAGTGTCCCGCTCAGCTCCTGGCAACCGATTACGTCAGTGAGCTGGACGGGAAGCAGGACATAGCGTCACAGAGCTCTTGGCAACCTGGAACGCTGTGGCTGCCTCTCTGCTGCCCCCCCTAATAAGATGTTGCCTGAGGCAAGTGCCTCAGTCTGCCTCTTTATAGAGATGGCCATGTTTATATTTGACATCTGTAAGAACTCCTTAATAACCAATGATACTGAACTTCAGTATCTCTGGAGCCTGTAGTGTGGCTTAAAGTGAAACCTAACTCAGGAGCTAAATCTTAAAAATACATTCAAGCACCTTACCTATTTAAAAATAGGATCTTATTTGTGTATCACTGGGCTGCAGTTCCTCAAATCATCTCTGGATTGGTGCTGGCACTGTCCTTCCTTCTGGAGGGGGGCTACTTTTCTTCACCATGGTCCCTATGTGTGTTGTAAAGTAGCTGCCACTCCAAGCTCACTCTCGTGCTGGACTACAGTATCACATATAGTTTACTAATTTGTGGTGAAGTTATAGTCTATCACTGGAGTGAGTTTGGAGCAAATTTTTATTGCTGGGAGCAATAAACTATATTATTTTCATTTTATATTGCATAATCTTCAGTACTCCTGTGGGTAAGTTTGGCTAAGAAGATACTTTACACTGTTTAAAGATGTTTGTTTTAAGGTTTTAGAGTGATAACCTTAATAATCTCCACTAGGAAGATTCACCCACCTTTTTGTACTAGTGACACTGAGAAAGAACGTAAGGGGGGAATTCAAACCGTTTGAGTTGTGCCCAGAACAAGAGGTGGGGGGAAATGTGGACACCTTTTCCAGGGACAAATGTGAAAGAATGAAATTCCACTCAATTTGGGAGATTTTCTCTGTCTGTTGCATTTCTCCAATGATACACAGACAGGTACATAAAAATTATCATGACAGGGGTTTTAACCCATACTCTAGCCAAAGAAAATTGTTTTGCTATATATAAACATTACATGCCTGACACTGTAGAAATGTTTGGTTGTTATACAAAATCCAGATACTGTAAATTAAAATTTCGTTAATGATAATCATATTTACCAAGCGATTCCAGTTTTATCTCATCCTCCTTTTTCAGATTAATCATAAGAAGAGACCATTTACTTGAAGATGCCTTCAACCAAATCATGGGATATTCCAGAAAAGATCTGCAGAGGAATAAGCTGTATGTTACTTTTGTCGGTGAAGAAGGGTAAGCGTAACACTATGGCTTTTCTACTTTTCCTTTTCCTACAAAGTGCTCATAAATATTGTGATAAATCTTAGAGTAAATGTGATGGGTTACATTATCAATATTACACCAAAAACAGTGTAGAATAGATACATTGTGCTTATATTTTTACATAAATGTTAATATAAATTTACTATCACAGCCTTTTCCATGAATTGCTCTAGCTGGTGGGACAAAGTAACACAATTCAAGTTTAAAACACCTTTATACCATATTCAAGTAAGAATTGCTGGACTGAATATACCTTTTGCACTCTTATGCAGAAATGTTAGACAGTTTCCTACGCCTTTATATCACAGGATAGCACTGGCTCCTCAAATTAAAGCAAAACTCCAGGCAAAAGTGTTCCTAGCCCTTGCAGTGCGGTTACCTCCACACTGCAATGGTCAAGTGCTTGTTCTTGTCTAGGTGCTAAAACAGAAAAAAAGTTATACTCACCTGATCCTTGGAGCTGGCTTGCTCTTAGACCGGTCTCTAAAACCTCTCTCTTCCTCTGCTGAAGCGGTCTAATAATCCTTGACTTATCACGTTCTATATACAATGGGGGGAATTTATCAAAACTGGAGCATACAGAATCTGGAGCAGTTGCCTATGACAACCAATCAGCATCTCTCTTCAGTTTGCTCAGGTAAGATTTGAAAATGAGACAATGAGAGAAGCTGAATGGTTGCAGTGCAAATCTGCTCCAGATTGTGTCTACTCCAGTTTTGATAAATTCCCCCCATTGTGTATAGAACGTGATAAGTCAAGGATCAGCCTAGGAGGAGTTAGGGTTCAGAGTAGCAGCCAGCTGGCTCCACGATTCGGGTGAATATAATTATTTTTTGGGACCTAGACAAAAATGAGCACTTAACTCAGTGCTGGGGTAGCCCCACTGCAAAAGTTGCAAACACTTTTGCCCGGAATTCTGCTTTAAAGCTACATACATTCAGGGGAATTTATTAAAACTGGAGCAGACAAAATTTGGAGCAGCTGTGTATGGCAACTAATCAGCATTTCTCTTTCGTTTACAAATCTTGACTGAACAAACTGAAGACAGAAGCTGATTGGTTGCCCTGGGCAACTGGCCCAGATTTTGTCTGCTCCAATTTTGATAAATATCTCTCATTGTGCAGGAGATGTGCTTCAGTCACATTGTACCGACTTCAATACAGTTCTTCTACAGCTGTGCACTTAAAGTGCAGGCAAACAAACAGCAGTGACCAGTTAGTTAGAAGGAAAGGAATGTAAAAAGGGAAAACCCGTTAACCAATTTTAGTCTATCAAACCACGGACAGAGGTTACTGTAATTCTGTTACATTTGCTAATATTGTGACATTGTTAAATGTAGTCCAATAGCTTTCTGGCATTCATTTCTTTTTTAAGGTTGGATTACAGTGGGCCATCAAGGGAATTTTTCTTTCTTGTCTCAAGAGAATTATTTAACCCATACTATGGGTTATTTGAATATTCGGCAAATGACACTTATACGGTACAAATAAGTCCAATGTCTGCATTCGTTGACAATCATCATGAATGGTGAGTTCTGGATTTTTCCTCTTCTTAGCACTGATGTGAAGGGAATCCTAAAAATGCTTCTAAATATGACAAATGTAATGATTTCCTCCACGGATTTAGTTGCTCTTAGAGGTTGAGTTGCAGCAGTCTTCAGAATCTCTCTCTTGCACTATTAGTGAGTCCATAGGAGACTGAAGACCAGTTGTTCTTTCTCTGCAGAGTTAAAGAATATCTCAAGGCAAGATATAAATAAAAATCTCTGCAATACATGCAAAAAAAGAAAAATACCTGCTGATCTGCCAGAAGTCCAGCGTGATCCTAAATTCCTGTTCGTGTTGACAACTTAATGCCTCTGCTGCAATGAAATCCCAAGCAGTGCTTTCAGCTCTATTTAAGTTATCCCCTGCTGGACTACAGATAACCCCCTTGTGTTATAGAGATGATGAAGGGGTTCTGTAGTCCAGCAGGGGAGAACATAGGCTGGACTGACAACACTACTTGGTACTATACTAGCGCAGTGTTGTCAGCTTACTACAATAGTTAGAAACTCATTTGATTTCTGGCCGGATCAACAGACATTTTTCTGCACTGCAGTATTTTAGAGAGAAAACATGTCGAGGTGGGTGTGTAATATGAATTTTGTTTGTTTTTTAAAAATGTTTTTTTATTGTGAAGTTATTTATGCTGAAAAGTTCACATCAGTGATAATAGGGTCATTTTCAGTCAGTCTCCAACAGCTTGAAAACCTTGCCATTGCCATTCATTTGAATAGTACCCCAAACGCACCTCCCACCCACAATTTGTACGACTGCAACAGAACGCACAGAAACCTAAAGCCGTGCGGTCCATTGCAGTGCGACTTGGGTCGCGACTTAATGACCAAGGACAAATGTGGGTTCTGAGGTCACACAGGTTGAGAACCACTGATGTAAATTATTTTGCGTGCATGATCTGGGAGCACATTCATTTTAAAGGGAAGTGATAGGATAGTACGCTGTTTTAGTTGTTACTATTGTAACATTTACCTCAAAGTAATTTAGATGGGACTTTCACAAATTAATCTTTGCTGATTTTTCATATCGGAATTCCTTGCTTAATAACTGCTGATGAGCTCAATTAGCCTTACAAAAAGACCCAACCTATAGAGTGGCTATAACAAAGATATATTACCCAACAACAAGTACAGGTGGGGACATCAGCCTGGCTTAGGAACTGGCACAAAATCCATTCAGAGGATGAGTTTTATTGTGCAGAGATTTTTCAACAATCTGTACATGTGAAATGAGGATTTTCATGGTCAGACGCACTTCCCAGCGTGTGGCCTAAAAAGGCTGGAACTTCCCTGAGCTTTGTAGCAGGTGGCTGAATTGGGGGATAGAATTGGGCCATTTACGGCTATACATACACTTACGCTCTAAAGGTGCCCACACACCTTGCGATTATCGTACGATAATCGCGGAAAATCCCTCGATTGTACGATAATCGCAAGGTGTGTGGAAGGCGTGCGACCGTTTCTACTGTACGGTCGCACGACTTTGGTCTTACGGACATGTTAGAAAACCAGCCTAGAAGCGTACGATTTTCGGCTGGTTTGTGGCATAATCGTAAGATAATTGCCGCACAGGCCGGAGGGGCGGGCTTGCAATTATCGCAAGTACGATCTGCCTGTCCAGATGGGCAGATTGTACGTTTTTTTAATGACCTTACAACCATCGCAAGACAAAAGTCTTGCGATGGTTGTAAGGTGTGTGGCCAGCTTAAGAGAGGAAAGCAGTGAAGCTCAATCATTGTGCAGTGTTAATAAGCAAAAGCAGAGCTTGCACATGCACTAAACAAATATGGCGCACCTTTTTGTATTGATTTTTTACAGACATTAAAGAAAATATAGCTTTTTAAAATAATAAACACAGAAGATCCTTTGCATAAAATAAATCATAGTTTTATATCTATAAAACTTGATTTGCCAAAATGAATGTGGGATCACATAGGCACAGAGTGTAATTATCATATATTGTGTGCCAAAGGCAGTAGAAGTAACATAGACGTCTCGTACAATCTTTGCTAACACTGATGTTAGTGTGTGGATTAACTTTCTCAAGTTTGGTGTGTTTTTTAGGCATGTGCGATTTGTTTTGGAAAAATTGTTTTTTTCGGACGAATTTTCCTTATTCGGAGATTCGGACGTATACGAATTTCCGAATAACAGAAATGAATGAAAACATATCCGAATTTCCGAAAACAAATTTTTCTGTACGCATTTTTGTTTGTGGACGAATTTTCGTTGCAGCAAAGTGACATTAAAAAGAAAAATATTTTTCTTAATGTCACTTTGCTGCAACGAAACGAACATGAAAAGAAAACGAAACTTCGTATAGACTGCCGCTAACGAATTTCATCCGAATCCCGAATCAAATTGACATTCAGAACCCGAATTCCAAAAAATCGAAACGAAACCAGCGCACATGTCTAGTATTTTTATCTTGTTCACTGTTTTTTTTTAATTAACTTTTGACAAAACATCTATGTAAGATTCAATATAGAACATGTTTACTAGAGCTGTAGTCCCTGTTTTACTCCACTAATACCTGTTTATATGTAATGGGCCTTTAATTATTGTTTAATATTTATTTTTCAGGTTTAGATTCAGTGGCCGAATCTTGGGTCTTGCACTTATACATCAGTATTTACTAGATGCCTTCTTCACACGTCCATTTTATAAGGCCCTTCTACGAATGTAAGTTAATCAAAAAGTATATTTCTGCCACTAGAGAATTCTGTTTGCATCTGTATTGGCTGCACAACATGATTTCGATGCACTTTTTCAGAGAACACAAAACAAGGAACTAAATGTTCATGTCTTCAGGTTCATACATTAGGGCCTCAGTATATATCTCAATAGATCTAAGCCAGGAAACTTCTGCTAACATGAACGTTACCTGCTTTGCCCTATGTACCGTGTGCTGTCATTCAGCATAATATATTGGAGAATGCAGACATTTTTTGGGTGGTACATCCTGGTCTACATATTAGCTTCTTTTCCAATGCAAGAAAAGAATGTAAAGGTGTTAATTAGTTTATATCTAGTTATTTCAGCACCACCTCATCTGAAAACAAATGTATGTTTTACATACTGTACTTATTTTTTTTGACAGATTTAAAACTTGTTACACACTCAGGGGCATATTCATGAAGCAGTAATTGTCACTTTAATCAAGCATTCACTAGTGGTAACTAGTGGTAACTTTCACTGCTGCCATTATATGCCAAACATCGGCAGCAGAGGGTCCCTGTACGCAGACTCTAGACTGTTTACATAACTGTTTACATGTTCACACCAAGCGCATTCCAGGAGCAGAGCAGATCTGTTACAGACTGGATCAAAATTGCGTCCAATGTATTCCAATGGTATTTTGCGCTCTAGTTCACACCGCAGCGTTCAGTTCCAGAGCATGTAAAAAAACTGCAGCAAGCCCTATTTTACCTGGTCTGGAACGCATGCAAACGCATCAAAAACGCATGCAAATGCCCCGGAACGCACTAAAAGCCAATTTTTTAACCAAAAACGGCCCTGAACGCATCAAAAATGCGTCAAAACACGGTATAACACACTGCACTGCGTGTGCAGAAACTCATGCAGTTTCGGTCTGCATGTGGTGTGAAAAGCCGACTGTCCGCTTTAAAGTCATTTGGATGGCTGTAAAGCCACCCAATCACTTCCATGGGGTCTGACGTGCGCTTGTGAGCCCCCTACGTGGTATCAATTTAGTCAAGTAAAAGGTTTTAAAAATATATCTAAAAACCACAAAAAATGTTTTAAAAGTCCCCCACCCCTGTGTACATGCACAAACTAATGCATAAATGTTGGGTGCACCTGCATGATTGCACCACACATGTTAAGTATCTGGTATTAGGCACCGTGTGGGAGCAATAATTCCAGGGCCATTATTTTTGGTTAGCCATAAATGAATGGCCTGTACAGGCTTTTAAAGCATCGCCTGTGGACAATTTGGGGTACTGTAGTTTTTTGCCGTTTTATGGGCATATGCAGTTTTGAAGCTTGACATGTGTGGTATGTATTTTCTCACGGCAACCTCTTCTTTATATTTTACCAAAAATTGTGTTATATATTGTGTTTATGTGCACTTAACTTGAGTGCGTTTTTTACTGAAAATTTGGCGCCAGTATAAGTGATTTGGCAGCTCTCCAGATCGCCCAGATCACTGGTACTCCAAAAGCCCTCCCTGTACAGGTATTTCCTCTGGTTCTTAAGCGGTTACGATTTTGATAAACGCTGTATTTCTAATAGTTTAATAAATACATGACCAGACTAAGGGGTGATGTTGGAATTGATATGTTAAATCTTCAATCCTAAACCTTTGTAGACTTTGTGATTTGAGTGATTTGGAATATCTGGACGAAGAATTTCACCAGAGCCTGCAGTGGATGAAGGACAATGATATCCATGACATGCTGGACCTTACGTTTACCGTGAATGAAGAAGTATTTGGGCAGGTATATTTCTTATTAACTGTTAACTCTGGCCCTCGTGTCATATGACTATATAAAGATGACCAACATTTATCCCCCCCAAAAAAATTCTTGTTCACCCAGAAACCAAATGATACGCCCCTGTCACTGGTTACATACAGTGAGGGGAATTTATCAAAACTGGAGCAGACAAAATCTGGAGCAGCTTTTCAAACGTTAACTGAGCAAACTAAAGAGAGAAGCTGATTGGGCAACTGCTCCTGATTTTGTCTGCTCCAGTTTTGATAAATTCCCCCCAGTATGTTTACATTACCAAGAACAGGGAAAAACAGGATCTCAGCCCTTTTTTTTTACAGATTAATTTTTCCAGCCCCATATCAAAAGAGAAGACAGGCCTTAAAGCACCTGCAAGATGATTGTAGTTTGTGTAGGTTTCAATAACCAATGGAAACTTCCTTACCTATTTAATAAGAGAACTCTATAAATAATTCTAAGGGCCTCTGTTGATGGGCTTTTGTTCACATCAGATGGACGGGTTTTGCAAACCCATAAAAAATCTTTGGGAATGTAAAACCCACATGAAGTAGGTCAGGTGAAATGCATATGTCAGTAAATTTGAATTTTTTAGAAGAGTTTCAATCTGATATCAATGTCACAAGGCCAAAGCCCATTCACATTGGCCTAGTGCTTTCCTAAACTAACTATTATTACTATTTGCGCAAGTTTTTTAAAAATATTGTTTATGTCAAAGGAAAATTTTCAAGTTACATACACTGAAAACACATTGCACAAATAAAAATGACAGTCAAAACTACTGAACCTGGGCCCAGTGTTAACACTCACCAGAATGTGTAAACGAGACACATCAATTGCGGGTAAGGAGTCATACCATGTAAGTTGCACAGCATACCAAAAGAAAAGCACACTGCTCCAAGTCCTTAAGTGTCAAATGGATCAATAGAAAGAGTCTCAAAAACAAACGTTAGTATCTTATAGTGTGCGCACATTAAGAGTAAGAAACGGGGTAAAAGGAAGTAAGTGCCAAACCTTAACGGCAAAAGAAGAGAATGGGGGGGGGGGGGGGAGAAGGGGGGAAAAAAAAAAGAGAGGGATGGGGGGGGGGGGGGGAGAAAGGGAGACAAAGAAGATAGAAGATAGGGAGAAGAGAGAAGGTGGTAGAATTAAAAGGTAAAAACACCCTCCTTTTTTCCAGGTCAGGTAGCTCCACGCTTGGCAACTTAGACTTGTACATGGGATTTGTGCATAATAGCACTAAAGTCTGAGGAGGTTGTGAACTGTCTCCAGTAACAACAAGCCTTCCAGAATTATTTACACAATTATTAAACTGATTTACTGAATTTAATTTGGCAAGCAGAAATCAAACCACAAACTGTCATAATTGCAAAATACCAGTATTAAAAAAAACTGTGATCTCAAGTATCCTCCAGGGTCTGTTCTTCTAATGTTGAGATAAGTAGACATGTCATTATAATAGGCTACTTAAGCATCCCGATGCTGTATTATTGGATGTAATGATTGTTATTACAACCTTAAAACTTTTCATATGATAATAGAAGGGAGACCTGCTTCTTTTTCATCATGTACATTGCAACGGATCACCTTTATACAGTTCTTATTTATAAAGTTAGTCTGGAGGGGACTTTGTTATGTGCAAAATTGGAATTTTACAACTGTTGAATTAGAATCATCCTCTGAATCCACTTTGCACAATTTATATGGAATGGAACCCCAATGCACACCTACATTAGTGAGCCTCGTGTTTTGGTGTGTGGTGAATATGGTGAGTATGTTAGACTTTTCCTGCATTAAGGTGTGCTGCCAGTCCTTTCAAAATGAACGCAGAGGCCTTAATTCACAATTATACGTTGAGTTAAAGCAGAATTATGGGGTGAGTGAAATACACATAATTCAAGACGACCTGTGACACTGAATCTGCCACAGGTCGGCTCTGTTGATTGGGAACTCTGCAAACACACACTGCTGATCGCTTACTTCTTGATCCTCTCCCTGCAGCGTGCGATGACTGTCAACCACTGATACCCGCAGGGATTCCCCCCCTTCCCTCTCTGTTTCTCCAGTGCTGACTGAAGGAACGGACTGAGGAGGGGGTGGGCACAGCTGGCTCTGCTTCTAGATAGGCAGAGCCAGCTGTCAATCAGCCAGTGGGGTGTATCTCAATAGTATTGTCGGGATCCATCCCGACAGTGTCACGTCTCTGCGATCTCAGCATATGGCGGGCAATAGGCCACTTTATACTGAGTTTTGGGACACCGGAGGACATTAGTACATGTCCTTCTGTGACCCTGAAGAGCACTATGGCCAAAAAAGGTTAGGCCATGGTACTCTTTTAATGCAACATAGTTTGAACGGACCCTTAGTGACATAACAATGCAAACATTTATATATGTGCAATATTTATTGTGCCAGTTATTTAAAGTTGCTTTTATAAATGTATTGTAATACTATGCTTGATATACTGTGTTGTGCATTATAAAGAAAGACTTTAAAGCTGAACTCCAGGTTAACAGCTAAATTCACAGTTGAAGTCTAAATGTCGGAGCTGTGTTACCTGCCCAATGATCATTCATTTAGCCCTGAGACTGTCAGACAGAACAGCCAGGTTGGTCACCCTATGTTTCTCTCCTAGCACTTGACTTTTCCCTGTCTCAGTTCTTCTATAGAAGGGGTTACATGAGGCTAATATCAAGACATAATTAGGTTCGCACTCCAAAATATATTTACCGTATTTTACGCTCCATAAGACACACTTTTTTGCCCCCAAAAGGAGGGGAAAAATGTGCCTTCGTCTTATGGATCGAATACCTATCGCCCGCTGCCCGGGACATGCAGTTTCGGGCGTCGGGTGAGTAGTTTCTTTTTGTACATTCAGCCCTGTTCCTGACAAGCAGAGCTGAATGTACAGTGGGAGCCGCTGCTCGTTTAATACAAGGGATCTAATTGGATCCCTTGTATTGAATCGAGCGGCCGCGGCGATCGTGTCCTCCCCCCGCCCCGTGGTTTTCGGGGTCCCTCGCTCCTGTGCGGGACCGTGACCCGTCACGGTCCCCCACAGGAGCTCACCATAGAGCCCCTTGAGCAGTTGAAGAACGTTGTTCTTCGTCTGCTCTGTGTGATTACTGAGACCGTGGCGCTGTAATCACAGTGCCACCTGTCTCAGCGGTCACTAACTGCAGCTTCTGTGACAGAATTTCTGTCACAGAATCCCTGCGTCCTCTTGTCCGGAGCGTCTTATAGACGGCAAAATGCGGTAATTACTAATTATTGAATACATAACTTTAATAAATGGTGTTTTCATATTTGCCTGGAGTTCAGCTTGAATGTATGCCCCTTTATGTAGGTTATTTTTCAAATTCATATCCCTTGTTTGGAAAGATTACAGAGAGAGAGCTAAAGCCAGGGGGAGCCAACATTCCCGTAACAGAGAAGAACAAGAAAGAATACATTGAAAAAATGGTGAAATGGAGAATTGAAAGGGGGGTTGTACAGCAGACGGAAAGCCTGGTGCGGGGCTTTTATGAGGTATGCACATGCAATCTGTATGATGATCTGTCATTTATATAACAATGACACAATGACCGGCTCACTTAGCCAGAGTTTACATAAATTTGTGATAGGACTGTGTTTAAATAACATACTTTATTATAACCTACCTTCTTATTACAGCCTAGATTTTGTTATGCAGAATATTAGGAATTGTGCTGCTATACTTAGTCGCTTCTGACACAGTTTATAATCACGTCTCTTACTTATGCATTTAAAAAGTTTTTTTTTTCGTTGTTGGCCTAGTCTAATGGGCCACAAGTCTTTTTGTCTTCTGGAGCCTCCAGTAAAAGCTCTCCCTTTTACAGTTCCTGGTTATATTGATATGCACCTTGGAGTTTTGGGTCTTGGCATCTATCTTCTGTGCTCCATGACATACAAAGAATTACAAATCTAAAAGGAGAGGATTCTTAGATCTCTGGTGCCTCAAGTCAACTTTAAGTGCTTTTAGTGCTGCCTGTGTACACATTGGAGAGATTTCCAAGGGATCACACGATAGTGGGAGAAACCACCTTAGAAGCCTGGCAAAATGTCTAATTTCTCCTTACCTTATTTAAAAATGAAAAAAGTTTTGGCTAGAATTCTACTTTGAATAAATCCATTGACAGTACACTCCAGTCAAAATTGAAAATGAGCCCTGCAACACACAAAAAAGTGAAAACAATACAAAGATGCTATTTTTCCAGTTTGAATAATAATAATATTTGTTAAAATAGTAAGTGTTACCATAAGTAGTAATTTTACACTGTGATTTGTCCTACTTATCATGACAACTGAATTAGGTTGCTGGCACAAAGTCTGGCTAACACCACAAAACAATAAAAAAACAAGTAAAGAAAACAAGAAATATCATTATTTTGCTCAAACAGTTTAGAAGAAATCAGCCAAATAGCCTATTTAAGCAGAAAATTGATTCTTAGAGCTATAGATCACACTAAGCATATAAAGTGACTCTGTAATGAAACAAAAGCAGCTTTTGATCCACTTCGCTACATCCTGGCTTTAAAGTGGTTAAAGCAAGTTCATGCCTCCTCCCACCTGCATGATTCCTGAGCTCTCTCTCTATAGAATGTGTGTGTATGTGTGTATACACTATATTGCCAAAAGTATTGGGACGCCTGCCTTTACACGCACATGATCTTTAATGGCATCCCAGGCTTAGTCCATAGGGTTCAATATTGAGTTGGCCCACCCGTTGCCGCTATAACAGCTTCAACTCTTCTGGGAAGGCTGTCCACAAGGTTTAGGAGTGTGTCTATGAGAATGTTTGACCATTCTTCCAGAAGCGCATTTGTCAGGTACTGATGTTGGACGAGAAGGCCTGGCTTGCAGTCTCTGCTCTAATTCATCCCAAAGGTGTTCTATCGGGTTGAGGTCAGGACTCTGTGCAGGCCAGTCAAGTTCCTCCACCCCAAACTCGCTCATCCATGTCTTTATGGACCTTGCTTTGTGTACTGGAACAGGAAGGGTCCATCCCCAAACTGTTCCCACAAAGTTGGGAGTATGAAATTGTCTAAAATGTCTTGGTATGCTGATGCCTTAAGAGTTTCCCTTCACTGGGGCCAAGCCCAACCCCTGAAAAACCCCACACCATAATCCCCCTCCACCAAACAATACACTTTGTACAATGCTGTCAGGCAAGTACTGTTCTCCTGGCAACCGCCAAACCCAGACACGTCCATCAGATTGCCAGACAGAGAAGCGTTATTCGTCACTCCAGAGAACATGTCTCCACTTCTCTAGGGTCCAGTGGCGGCGTGCTTTACACCACTGCATCCAACGCTTTGCATTGCACTTGGTGATGTAAGACTTGGATGCAGCTGCTCGGCCATGGAAACCCATTCCAAGAAGCTCTCCATGCACTGTTGTTGTGCCAATCTGAAGGCCACAACAAAGTTTGGAGGTCTGTAGCTATTGACTCTGCAGACAGTTGGCGACTTCTGTGGACTTTACTCTGTCATTTTACGTGGCCTACCACTTCGTGGCTGAGTTGCTGTTGTTCCCAGTTGCTTCCACTTTGTTATAAAACCACTAACAGTTGACCGTAGAATATTTAGTAGCAAGGAAATTTCACAGATGGACACGGATGAGAGCGACCCATTCTTTCACAAATGTTTGTAGAAGCAGTCTGCATGCCTAAGTGCTTGGATTTATACACCTGTGGCCATGGAGGTGATTGGAACACCTGAATTCAATGATTTGCAGGGGTGTCACAATACTTTTGGCAATATAGTGTGTGTGTGTGTGTGTGTGTGTATATGCATTGTACACTTGCATTTCCAGTAGAAGTGTTTTCATTGGCAGCTCTAAATCAGAAAAACATGACATTTTTTATGTTTCAGGTGGTGGACGCTCGTCTAGTATCTGTGTTTGATGCAAGGGAGCTTGAGCTTGTTATTGCAGGAACAGCGGAGATTGATTTAGGAGACTGGAGAAACAATACAGAGTACAGAGGAGGTAAATGCCTTTTACAATGATGTGGAAAGGATTGTGAACATCTGATTACACCACTGATTAATTTTAGTGCCATGTTAAAGTTGCCACCATGGGGGCATCATATCATAGCGAGAGCTTCCATCAAAACATTTAACATAAGATCTCCAAATACAGCTCCAATCAAGGATAGATGTCCCAAAAGACTTCAACATCAAATGCAGCCTCTTAGTCGTTGGAGATGTTCACAATTCAACGCATTTCATGCCTCATGCATTTCTTCAGGCAGCTTCTTCAAGCCGGCGGCTTCTTACGGCTCTGGCATGGTCGGCAGCGAGACGGTGTGGGAAGGAGGACTGGCAAAATTCCCCAGGAAAAAGCAGTTATCTTTGCCCGATACTTGGAGCGTTTATTTACTAGGTCTTTCCCTGCGTTGTGGTTGTCCGCTAATGGTCAGGACTCTCTCTGCGCACACAGGATCTTGAAGCCAGCATTCCTTCTATTCATGTAATAGATTGCTTCCTTAATGAGTGCGCATGAGGCATGAAACGCGTTGAATTGTGAACCACTCCAACGACTAAGAGGCTGCATTTTATATATTGAAGTCATTTGGGACATCTATCCTTGATTGGTTCTTCCACTTACCGTATTTTTCCGCTCCATAAGGCGCACCTGACCATAAGACGCACCTAGGGAGGTTAGGGTTCTGTGTAGTTCCTGACAGCTGAGACAGGTGGCGCTGTGATTACAGCCCCACGGTCTCAGTGATCACAGAGAGTAGACGAAGAACGGACGTTCTTCGTCTGCTCTACGGGCTCTATGGTGAGCTCCTATGCCGTGGTCACGGGTCCCCCAGAGGAACGGGAGGAACACGAAAACGGGGGTGGGGGCTGTGAACAGGATCGCCGCTGCTCCTTTCATACAAGTGATCTATTCAGATCACTTGTATTAAAACGAGCGGTGGCTCCACACCATGCATTTAGCTCTGCTTGTCCGGAGCAGGGCTAAATGTACAAAAAAACTACTCGCCCGGGGCCCGAAACTGCATGTCCCGGGCGTCGGGCGATAGGAATTCCACACCCCTGGGAACACTGCCAGCCCTGCCGCCTCAGCTCTCACACATTCGCTCCATAAGACGCACAGACATTTTTGCCTGCCTTTTGGGGGGGGGGGAAAGTGTGTCTTATGGAGCGAAAAATACGGTAGTTCATTTTCCTTGGAGTTGGTATTTGGAGATCTTATGTTAAATTTTTTTGATTGAAGCTCTCGCTATGATACTATCAAATATGTTGCTCATGCAATCTTATGGGGATGTGTTTTTATCATCATTTTTAAACAAATTTTGATAAAATAAAGGAATGTTTTTATGCAATTGTATTTTGTAATTATTCTTGGCTATGTCATAAGACACCTAAAAGGCCCCATTTAACCCTTGGTGTTTCCGAATGAAGCAATAGGGGTATGGTGCTGTCCCTCTCAGAGGTATTTATGCAAAATGTTTTGTGATTATTGATTAGCTAGTTTTTTCTTTTTTCATAATGTAAGCTCTGACTGATCAGACAGACATCAACAAATTGATTGTCTCTCTTCTGTTTTAATTGTTCTCAGGCTACCATGACACTCACATTGTCATTAGATGGTTTTGGGCCGCTGTTGAAAGATTTAACAATGAGCAGCGTCTCCGTTTGCTACAGGTAAGTACAGTCACAATGTCATCTTGCCATTTTGGCATTTTCTCTCTGTGTGTGGAAATTGTAATCTAATGTGTGGTAAATGAATGTTTTTACACTATATTCTATGTTATACCGAGATGTATTACCTATCCACAAAATACTTGCAAAAGTACAGATCAGTCATGGCCACATACAGATCTCTCCGTTTCTCAAGTCCCTCACTCATGCTTTATTACAATCGGCACAATATAACAATTGATATTTGCTCTAACAACTGTTAACGTCAACTACGAGAGCCAATGAGAAATAAAAATAATGGTTCCATGGCTAAAAATAATGATCGCTATGGCAAATAACATGCACATTATATTATAGGGCACTATACATATATGCATTTATGTTTTGTTTTCTTCATACAGCCAGCCTTGGGCCCCTTAGTAAATTCAGTCTACATTTCATAATCAACCACATGCAGCCAAAGTGAAATTGCTTTGGATATTGGTCCTGTCCCTGTAGGTTCTGCAGTAGAGAAGTCATCATGAGTTGATGAGTGATATGTGACAGGCTGAAATTGAGATTTAGGGCTTTATCTATATGGTGATTTTATTATACAGCTGAAATTTGCATCATATTATTCATTATTCCTATCGGTGTGTTGATTCTTTTATTACCTCTAGACCAAATATTTTGAATCACACATGCAAAACATGACATTTGTCAGTACACTGTTTAAGATTTTAAACTAACCCCTTCATGACTGAGGCCTTTTTTTCATTTTTTGTACCCATGTTATATTCCACATTTTAATGCACTTTTATTCAGAAACCTATGACTGCGTCAAACCAGTCTTTGCTGCCAGGTGAGGGGGTTAATCTCCTCTTTCAGTCAATGGTGCAGTGTTTGAATGGGTTTGTTGTCAGATTTCATCTGCGGGTAATGCTGTGTATGAATCATTTGCAGCTTCTGGCCTTGGTAAAACCTGGAGCACTGAATGGAGGCTGGGGAGGAACTCTCTCCATGGTGTTTCTAGGGGCTCACAAATGTATATGGGGATTTCCATTTAGGCCTGCTTCACACCTAGCCGTTTTCAGTTTTGCTGCCCGTTTCTGCTTTTAAAAACGCACTTTTCTCGCAGCATAGAGAAGTCTATGGGGCTAAAACCGCACAAAATCCACCTGAAAATGGCTCCTGCATCATCTACGTGTGACAGAACGCTAAGGTGTGAACAGTCACCATTGACTTGCATGGAAATATGTGTTTTGTGCATTTCCGCGCAACCAGATCCGCGCGGAAAATCGCTCAGGTATAAACCAGGCCTAAGCGTTAATGTTTCATGATTAGACAAGGACAGAAAGTGGGGTTTTGAGAGCACCAGAGGAACTCCACCTTTAATTCAATTGTGCATTGCTTTTGTTAGTATGTATATTTAAAAAAGGTTTTTTGATATTGTGTAAATTGATCTCTCCATACATTCAATCTTCTTGAATAATGTTTCATGAGTCTTAATAAATGTCAATTTGGGAAATTGCCATAATGATGTTTACATGTTTAATTAGTCTGTTTTATTGTGGATATAAATTATATGGATCTGTGTCCAAAATTACATTTTATGAAGAGACTTCAGTCCAAATTCAAATATTTTTTTTTCCCGTTTTTATATTGTAGGGAAGACTTAACACTTTTCTGTTCTCTATGGTTTGCAATTTAGGTTTTATCTTAGGAAGTGTTAGGGTTTTAAAAGACCTCGGGCGTTCCCAGGCATCTAAACTGAAATGCTGTGGGGTTTGTAGCATAACAACGAAGTAAGGCTGTTTCTTGCCCTCCATGTCTCTCTCCTCATAAATGTATTTCTGCTTTCTTGCTGTACTCCAATAAAAATTTCTCCCATTGACTACTGACACAGGGGCACCATTCCTCCCTGTGATACAGGAGCACTGTACTTCCACTAACATAGGGGCACCATTTATCCTACTGACCATAAAATAAAAGGCACCATTCCTCCCACTGACACAGGAGCACCATTTATCTTACTGAGCATAGACAAAGGGATAGCATTCATCCCACTGACCACAGACACAGGGGCACCACAGGGGCACTATTCATACTGATACAGAAGCATTTATTCTTCCCACTGACACCGATTTATTAATTTCTTCAGGGGCGATATTTATTCCCAAAGGCACAACTGATACCTTTGCATGGTTCACAACCACTGACACCAGGGCATTTATTACTCCCTTTGAAGATTGATGCAGGGGAATTTTTTGCTTTTACAAATGCAAGGGCATTTTTTAACTTGCTCTGACCTCTGATGTAGGTGCGTTTTTACTCCCACAGACCTCTAATGCTGGGGCATTTTTTTAAAATTTCTGATGACCACAGTACAGCCCCCAAACAATGTGATGAACAGTAAGCGTTGTTTAAAAATTTTGGAACCCTTTACTAATTTTTATAATGTCAATCTTATGATAGCATGGCAGATGTGTGTGGGTGTACGTACACAGTATATAGATATGGGGTGTATATATACACGAATATATACACACACACTGAGTGGCCAGTTTATTATGACCACATGACGTTTGTAGGCAAATTAGCTATAACTTCGCGCTGAAGTTGCTAGAGGGCCAGACTATTATAAATAGGGAAGCAGGTTGTTTACCACGACAGTAGAAGTGTTTTTTTTCTGAAGATATGGGTAAACAACGCGATTTATCAGCCTTTGAACGTGGGATGATTGTTGGCGCTCGGAGCCATGGAGCGAGTATCAGCAAAACAGCAGAATTCGTTAAATGTTCAAGAGCAGCTGTTGTTAGACTGGACTGTCAGCCGAAAATCTGGGTCTGAACGTGCGAATTGTGGCCGTCAGCGACTAATCAATGTTAGGGCAGAACGGAGAGTGGCAAGACTGGTACAAGACAACAGAAGGGCAACAGTGCAGTGTCAGATTCCTCGCATCACCTTTCAACATCTCGTGGAGTCACGAGGCGGCCTAATAAAGTCATCTCGTGGCCCCACGAAGTACTCATGGGGTGGTCATAATAATCTGCCCACTCAGTGTATATATATACTGAACAATAGATTTACAATTATCCTCTGCTAATATGAATGGGTTAAATGATCCGTAGTACATGATATGTAGCCCTGTACCCCTTTTTCCACTTACAGAGCTAGGTTATTTTTCTTTTAAATAAATATTAATGTCATTTTATTGGTATCTATCTACCAGTAGCTGCCTCATTTCCCACCCTCGGCTTATATTCGGGTCAATACTTTTTCCCAGTTTTTTTTGCTAAAATTAGGTACCTCGGCTTATATTCGGGACGGCTTATACTCGAGTATATACGGTATGTTTCTATGGTAATGTGTATAGATATTAGTGTTTCACCAAGTTGTAATTTGAAATTTCTTTTTTTTTTCTTCATTTTATTTCTTTTTTTTTAGTTTGTTACAGGTACTTCCAGTATCCCATATGAAGGTTTTGCCTCCCTTAGAGGCAGCAATGGGCCAAGACGTTTCTGTGTGGAGAAGTGGGGAAAAATCACAGCTCTTCCCAGGTAAAAATAGAAGATTATTGTTAATTATCTGTCTGTTGTCTTCAACTATAAAGCATTCAGAAGTTTAATAGTGAACGCATGCTCATGCGCATGTGCACAAATTCGATGGTTGGCACAGTGTTCCTGACACAGGAAAAACTACATGCTTGCACATTCTTTGTGTCCAATGAGGCCATAAAGTCCCCTTGATGCAGAGAGGCAATAACGATTTTCATTGATTCCATGTGGAATTTTTGGACATGAATGTAAGCATTTAAGGCTTTGGGGTTCAGAATGGGGTAAATATCCACTTTGGGCTTGGGAATGGTGAACAGGTTGCAATAAAAAAAAAAGGCATTGTCCCTTGAAGACTATGCTGAGTAAACACTTCTTCCAAGTGAGTTATGCAGTCCAGCACTTCAATCACAGAGACTTGCACAAGTGTTATGACAGAAGACCAATGTGAGACAGTAAGCGGGAAGGTTCCAGCAAGCCATCACTGCAAAAATGTAAAGCCAAAGACAAATGGTCTATGCAATTCATGACCTGTGGGTCATTGTCAGCATGGGTCAGATCATGCTTAAGGGACTTAGGCTAGTGAGCCAGATACACACAAAAAAACTACTACCAGAACCAGGTGCATGGCAGAACCTGCAAAGAGAACATGGCCTTATAAAGAAGGGACATGGTATGTGCCTTGGTAATGCAAGAGATGGCCAGATCCAAAGCCAGGATGGACCACTTGGTGACAAGTCCCTAAAAGAGTCCAGTGCCAACAAGTGTTTGGGAGGTGCAAAGACCCTATCAGGGTGCTTCCAATCGTCATACAGAAACAACTCAAAAATGAGTGAAGGAAAGGTTTTGGAGCCCCTGAAGGACCCAAAACCATAGATAACACTGGTAGATGCAACAGGCTGATCTGTTTTAGAGTGTGGTTCACCACATCACTAAGGGCTCAAAACAGTCTCTTTTAATTTAGGAGTAATAGCAGATGACTGCTACTCCTCAAGGAAAAGCTTATCAGTCAGTGACTTGAGCATTTCAGTATCAGAAAGAGCATCCAGAGCCGAAGGTTCGTAAGCCGACAAGGCTGCAGACAGATCAGGCACTGAGTCTGCAATGGAAAGTGTGGTAGTATGTGTGTAGCCTCTGCGGTCTGAAACAAGCTGGGAAACCTACGACATAAAGTCATGCATGACTATAACAGAAAACTCCCAGAGAAGAGGAGGCCCAGAAACACTCCTCGGAGCCTGAGAGGAGATGGATTCCAACACTGATGGGCAACATGACTCCAGGCTACGTGCATTGGCACTATCAAGAGGTGCTCTGCAGTCAGAACGCAACTCATCAAGGGCTTGCAGTGTGAAGAGCTGAACTCCTCCAGAATTTTTATCCTCTTTTGTGACCGAAGGCTGAGCTACAGCTATTGGCATCAGTGCATCCACCATGGTTGCTTCCAATGAGATGACTCATCCAGTGTTTTCTGCTGCAATTCCTACTAATTATGCACTTCCTATAGTACACCTGTCCCCCTTCTGCCGATGCCTACCTTTGCTGGCCCCCCTTCCTCTGCTGATCTGTTCATCTGCCAAAGCCCTTGCAAATACCTAATCATTCTGGGGAGAAATGCAACCTTTTCCCCTTTCTTGGCCAGTTGCCGGGCTGGAGCACTGCCACAAGGGGAAAGTTCCTTAGTCACATGCTGACCACAGGGCTTTTAACTCAGGGATCAGATAGGCAAATGGGGTGACGGGGGAGCACTGAAAAGTATAAATTGGAAGAAGAGATGGGCTTTCAACAGACTCTTCCACTGTTCTTTCATGACAGGTTCACTTTAACTCTCCATACTAAATTACTAGAAGAACATGTAAGGCCATTATCTCTTTAATGGTTTCTTTGGTAGTCAGTGCTACTAAAGTGATATATGAATACTTTATATGTTTTATGTCACACTGTTCTAGCATTATCTCATTTTCAGCTTTGCTAAATTGCAATTAATGTTGGTTGATGAACCCTCATTTAAAAATAGCTGGCACTGCCACAATTATGACCTCTTATGTAGTGCTAAGCAGTGGATAATCATAAGGACTAAAGGATTCGCATTTTTTTTTCCGTTCTTTATTTTCAACCATATACACACAGTGCAGGATTTACTCCCCCTGCCGCCCCAAGGCCCCAGGTTCCACAATACGC